GTTCATGCTTGTTTACAATGCCTCATAGCCTATTTATTCATGGATAAATTTTGAGAATTGCTAGAATAGTCCTTCTCTAGAATTCTCTTTACAATCCTAACTTTTCTTGAATACTCTTCTATGGTTAGAAGTATCTAGCTAGTCTTGTAGATTATTCTAGATATTATTTTACAAGAATAATATTTTTTTTATTATTCCAAAATTGAGCATTAGTTTCAACACTCCTCCTTAATGCTCATTTTGGAGATACCGAGCATCATACGTAGTTCTTCAAACTTCAGGCGCAGAAGTGCCTTCATGAAAATATATGTGCATATTGTTCGTCTGTCGGACAGTAGTTCACTTGAATTTCTTTGTTTGTTTCTACTTCTCTTAAGAAATGATATTTGATGGCTATGTGCTTAGTTCGGCTGTGTTGAACCGGATTCTTCGCCATTGCTATTGCAGACTTGTTATCGCAATAGATTATCGCTGACTTAATTTGTTCCTCACCCATATCTGCTAATATTCGTCGTAACCATATAGCTTGGCTTGCAAGTTGTTGCAGCTGCCACTGATTGATTACGCCACGCTTTCTTATTTTCTTTGATGCCCATGAGAATATTCCGGAACTATGAGAGAATGTGTAATCTGAGGTACTCTTCATGTCATCCAATGATCCGGCCCAGTCACTGTCGGTGTAGCCTATTAGACTCGAGCATGTTACGGGCTTGTACCAAATTCCATAGTCCTTCGTTTCTTGCAAGTACCTAAGGATCCTCTTTGTTGTTCCATAATGTACTTGCCTCGGACTTTGCATGAACCTGGATAGTAAACTTGTGGTGTACATAATGTATGGTCTTGTAGCTATTAGATATAGCAGGCTTCTTATTATACTCCTGTAGAGTGAATCGTCCGTGTTTGGTGATCCATCTTCCTTTCTTAGTTTTTCATTAGTTACTAAGGTGTAGCAACTGGATTGCAATTGTGCATCCTGAACTTCTTTAGTAAACTCTCGGTGCACTTTCTCTGGGCGATGAAAACACCTTATTCTTTTTGGGTTATTTCAATGTCGAGGAAATAATGAAGTGATCCGAGATCACTCATCTCAAATGTCCTAAATCCTCGACTCGTGAAATAAGTATTGATACGACTGTACCAAGCTCGTGGGGCTTGCTTTAAGCCGTATAAAGCTTTCTTGAGAATTAAAACTTTGTCTTCTTTTCGTTTCTCCACGAATCCTTGTGGTTGGTCCACGTAGATTTCTTCTTCAAGATAGCCGTTGAGAAAGGCTGACTTGACGTCCAATTTATAGATTCTCCATCTCTTTTCTGCAGTTAGTGCAATAAGTGTTCTTATTGTGTCTAAGCGTGCAACGGGAGCAATGATTTCAGTGTAGTCGACGATACCTGGTAACTGTGAGTATCCTTTGGCGACAAGTCTCGCTTTGTGCTTCTGAATCGAGCCATCCAGATTGAGTTTTGTTTTGTAGACCCACTTGACTACAATGATATCTTTGTTAGAAGGTCGATCTATCATCTCCCATGTCTTCTTCATCTCGATCATCCTTATCTCTTATTCCGTAGCTTTTATCCAAACTTCTTGCTATGATGCTTCTTCAAAGCTCCTTGGCTCCATAGTTGCAAAGTGGCACGACTCGTAGATTTCCTCGAACGATCTTTTTCTTAGTGGCGGTGACTGAGGTGATGATCCTTCTTCTTCTTCGGTAATTTCTCCACGTCCAGTAGCTAGTTCCACAGGAGTCTGCGGTTCTTCCAGTTCTACTATTTGATGATTTGTTGATGGTCTTTGTATTCTCGGTACCATGATGCTTTGCTTCATTATATTTTCTTCATCCCAATCCCATGTGGCTTTCTCGTCGAATTCGATATCGCGACTAACGATAAGCTTCTTAGTCTTGAGATTGTAAATCCGGTATCCTTTGAATTTTGTACTATATCCCAGAAATATTCATTTTTTCGTCTTTTCTTCAAGCTTGTACCTCTTGACTGCTGGAATATGGACCTAGCAAATGCTCCCAAAGACTCTTAGATGTTTTGCTGACGGTTTACGACAACTCCAAGCTTATATAGGTGTTTGGTTTTGCACGTCCTTAGTTGGACATATGTTGAGTAGATAGACAGCTATGCAGTTGCTTCAGCCCAAAACATTTTCGGCATTCTTTTTTCTTTTAGCATAGATCTTGCCATCTCTATCACCATTCTGTTTTTTCTTTTGGAGACGTCATTTTTCTCAGGAGCGTAGCCGACTGTTAGTTGGTGTTCCACTCCTTCATCTTCGCAGAACTTGTTGAATTCTTTAGAGGTGTAATATTTTTCTCTATCGTTTCTTATAACTTTAATCTTCCGATTGATTTGATTTTCTACTAGATTCTTGAACTATCTAAAGATAATAAATACTTCCGATTTTTGTCGCATAAAGTTGACCCAAGTCATCCTTGTATTAGTGAAGAGAATGAAGTACCTGTTTTGCTTCAAGGATGGAGTCCTCATCAGTCCACAATCATCGGTATGCACGAGCTCTAGAATCTTCTTGGCTCTCCAAGCCTTGCCTGATGGAAACGATTTCCAGTTTTGTTTGCCGAGTAAGCATCATTCGCATACGTCGTCCTTCTCGTGAATAGCCGGAAGATCTTTCATCATGTTCTTTTAGTGAAGAATCTTTAATCCATGAAAATTGAAATGTCTGAACCTCCGGTGCCATAGCCATGACTGATCTTCTAGAGCCTTCATGGCTACTTCCACATGCTGCCAGTTTATAGGAAAATTTCTCTTTTGTTGCATTTTACTTTTGCTATTTCCGTTCTTGTGTTTTTGTTATCGTATAATGTGCACGAGTCTCCTTTAAAGAGTAGAGAATATACTTTTCTCCATCATCTGACCCACGCTTATGAGATTCGTGTCGAGTTTAGGCACTAGTAGGACATCTTGAATAAGACGCGTACATTTCTTAGTATTGACAGCAATTGTGCCTAGACCTTCAGCTTCCACCAGGGCTGCATTGCCGATTTTACTTTTGTCTTCATGGACTTGTATATATCTTGAAAGATCTTGTTCTGTGAAATTGGCCTGATGACTTTGTCTGGAATGTCAATCCTTTTGGGCATGTCCCAATTTTCCACAATTCCGCCATTGTAGTTTTCCCCGAAACCAGTAATCTTTTTCGAGATGACTAGTTTTTTTGCAGACGCGACATGGCGGGTATTTGGATTTCGTATCTACATAATTATCTCCCCCATTTTCTTTAATTCTAGAATTTCCACTTCTAGAATTTTCTTCAAATTTTATTTCCTTATATATTGAATTTTGAGACCGAATTTTGAGTTCAGACTGAAAGGCATTCTCCATTGAATCACTTTCACGCCTACTCAGTCTTTTCTCATGCTTCAAGAGAGCCTACCAACTCCGTGACAAAGAGAGTGGCGAGATTCTTTGTTTTCTCAGTTGTTGTAACGATTGGATCATATTTTTCCGGGAGACTGATTAATATTTTCTCTACTTCTCTTTTATAAGAAAAACATCTTCTCCATTAGCTCTTAATTGATTAACTAATTCCCTTAGTCGAGAATAATATTCATTTACGGTCTCAGAATCCTTCATTTTCATATTATCCAAATCTCTTCGTAGAGTTTGAAGTTTAGTAGTTTGTACCTTTGTATTGTCCTTGGAACTCCTCCTTCAGGGTATCCACGCTTCATTTGCACTTGTAGCACCGCTAATTCTTGGAAAAATTGGATCCGCCATAGCCATTTGAATGTTGTAGAGTGCCAAGTTGTCTTTTTCCATATCCTTGGCTAACTTATCTTTCTCCACTTGAGAGAGTTTGAAAGTGTCGCTAGGAGTAGTGAACCCTTCGTCGACAATCTCCCATAACCTTGGGATTTAAAGAAGGTCTTCATTTTGATAGACCAATAGTCATATTTTTCTCCCAATAATATATGAAGAGCAATTTGGTTGTTAGATAGTGTATTGGCCATGGTGTTAGTTAATGGAATAATAGAGGGTTGTTTTAGGAACAATATGTAGTGAAGGGAACACCCAAGTTTTTGATCGAACAAAACTCGGGTACCACTGTTAGTTTGTGAGAAGTGATGGATAGTAATTTGGAAATAGTTTGATTTATTCGGAGAGAAGGGACAATAGGACTTAGTTGAAGGAGAAGACTTTATTACTTTTTTATTCGAGTTCATGCTTGTTTACAATACCTCATAGACTATTTATAGGCTTCATGGATAAAACTAGAGAATTGCTAGAATTAATAGTCCTTCTCTAGAATTGTCTTTACAATCCTAGCTTTTCTTGAACATTCTTATATGATTAATTAGAAGTATCTAGCTAGCCTTGAGTCCTATATATAGATTATTCTATATACTATTTTACAAGACTAATATTTTTTTTGATTCCAAAATTGAGCATTAGTTTCAACAGCTACAATCAATTAATGTCGTCATTAACTTTTCAATAGGAATTAAAATTTACGCATACATATTTATGATCCGAATTTATTTTTGTTGTTCCTGATACATAAAACGGGTAGTGATTTAGTAAAACGATCAAATAAATTAGTCGAAATACGAAAAGATTAGCCGAGGCGAGAAAACTCTTTCCTTAAGACAATATTGCCCTGCTACGGTGCTTACGGTTATTTGACAATTGTCTCCCAAGATACAACGGCCAACTCGGCATATGAGCACTCAAAATCCCGAGTACAACGAACGTTACTTTGTGTCTCAAACTCTCGAATCGAATACGGAAGAAAATATTCTACGAAGAATATTTTCGGGCTAAAGAAATAAGAAATCCATAGAACATAATTATGGAATTGAATTGATTTTTTATGTTGTCTTTTAATCAAACATGTGGAGTTTCTATTTATAAATTTCCAATGGTTGTGATTAATAAACATAACTCTTAGGAAATTAAACAAGTGAATAGGTGTGGCCACACCTCTTCATATTGTCACACCTATTTGATCAAATAGGTGCCTAAAAAACCTTTTTATAATTTCCATTCAAAAATTATTTTATTTTATAAAATAAAATTCCCAACAATTTTTTGTCATGTATATATTACAAATGTTGCAAAACATATATATTCCACTTTGATGGAAAGAACAAAGGAACCAGAACATAAATTAATGAATCAAATTTTAACAACATACGGTACCATGAAAATGTAAGGAGAAGGGTAATCAAAGTTAATTTGAAAAAAATGAATACGACCGTCACGCAAGGATTGAATCTTATAATGATAAAAATATATTTAGAAATTAAGCATGCATGATTAGCAATCAGTTGACGAGGCGGCAGTTTTCTCGGATCTCGCCCTGGGTGCCGGTGAGCACGTCAATCTTGCCCATTTTGACCATTGCAGCGGCGAACTTCTTAGCCCATGCAGGACTGTTCTGAGCATTTTTCAGTACAATTTTGGAGGTCAAAGTGCTTGTCATAAGTACCTGATCCGACGTAAGAAGTCCCTTTTTCTGCTTCAGCAGCTCGTAGTACAAATTGTCCAAACGTTTCGGAGTTATGACATCCTGATTCACCGTAGGGTTCACACTTGGTGGACCTGTGGCATTAGCAACGGGGGCCGGGCAGATATTTCTCAAGAAAACGGCGTAGTTAGGGTCGAGAGTGGGGTCTACGGTCGGGTATAGACGTCCGTTGAAGGAGGTGCAGTGAGCAATTCCAATGGAGTGAGCCCCTGAGAGTGTCACCATTTCGTCGAGTGTGAGACCCTTTCTTGCAAAATTGTCCCTGAGTTGAGTGGCGTTGAAGAAAGGTGGGGGAAGATTGAGAAGTGGGTCGAGTGTGTTGGACTCGTTTCCATCACGGCGTCCAGCGGGTACTTCGTAGAATATGTCACCAACTCTCCATGAGCTGTCTCTTGCGGCAAATGCGAGAATGTCGGCACAAGAAACGATTCCAGGGCATCGAATCTCCAATTCAGCTTTTGCTGCGTCGATTATCTCAAAACCTCTTAAGCTTCCCCGGTTTGGTATACTTTGTTTTTCCGAGTTTGCTCCGTCCAACAACACAGAAGCATCACATCCCTGTAAACAAAAGCAATAAATTATTAGTAGATATAGTGTTAATACTCAATATAATTAGCTAGGTCATCAACATGCATCAATATATATAGCTAGTGCGGGTGTATGTATATATATACGATTACGAAGATGCATGATAATACATGCATATTATAATAAATATGTACAATAACGCTCATACGTACCCTGACGAAGCAGTCGTGGAAATGAAGCCTGATAAGGCCAGCGGCAAATCCAGGGTTGCGGAAGACGAATTTGTTGACGTATTTTTGGACAATGGCTTCTGCGGGTGGGCATGATTTTCTGTAGAAGCCAACTTTGAGGCCGGCTGTTGAATTAGCCGCAGAAGAAACCGAAACAAGGAAAACCAAGCAAGACAAGAACAACGCAATGGCTGCCAATTTGGTGGAAGCCATTGTGTAAGTATATTATTATTAATAATGGGAGTGTGGATGCCATGGATGGAAGGTTTAGGGGGGTATTTATAGATAGGGGTGATAAAATGTTAGTTAAAGCCTGGGCAGGACGTGTGTACATGTAAGGAACTTGGAGTTTTATACACTGATGATATGTGATCTCCACTATCTTACAATATTAGCTAGTACATAAATATGATAATTGCAACTATATTAATTAATTAGATTATCTTATGATGGAATGTAGAATTCTTCATTGGCAATGGCAGCTGGATGACGTTTGTTTGTTTGTTGGGTGCAATGACTGGCATTAATTACCCAGTTTGATAACACTGCAGGTAATGGTTAGATTAATAATAATCAAATGGTGATTTTTTTTTTGTGGGTGCTTGGTGAGGAGACCATAAGGATTTCTGACAAGAAATTAATGTTAAAAGAAAAGGGATGTTATTTATTTACCAGTTTGACTTGGTTGCATAAATTAGTTGATGAGGTGTTTAGTGTTTACAGCAAATCCCATTCTCTCTCTCTTTTCTAAAAAAAGAAAAAGAGACCGAATATTCCATCTCGTATAATAATGCAATTCAGGTATATAATAAAATAATAATAAGAAGCATAATATACAAAATTCAAAATATTTTTTGAAAAAATATTGACTGGGCTATTATGAGAGTCTGACATCATTATAACTAATGATCGCTTTTTGCAGCCAAAAATAAAAACAAGAATCTATTACAAGTATTTAAACAAAATATCATCACAAAGATACAACCTCTACAAAAAAAAAAAAGAATATCTCAGTATAATTCAGTCATCACATTTTTAAGTAAATAGCAATGTAAACATGTATCCCGGACAAATCTGAATCTCTTCTCCCAAAAAGGTTTCTCTAATGGCTCCATTGCAAATCATGAAAACTTGAGCCTAAAAACCTGCACATCATACATAATATCATGTAAGAAAAATAAATTTATTCATATTAGTAGTTAGTTACTTAATTGAGAGAAATAAATAAATTCCAACTCTTCAAATCTACCATCAGCTTCCTCCCTTTTGCTTAAGAGTGATCTTGTCCCCCAAGCTGAGAGCAATTCCTTGAGTCTTGCTTCTTATCCTGATATATCCGTTCAGTTTCCCATCTCCTTGCTTTTCAACACTCACATTTACCAATGCGTCCTCCCCAAATACACTCTTTGCATATAAGTTAGCAGCCAAGAATCCACATTCACCTTCTAGAGCAGATCTGCACACAACCACCATTCCAATTTCATTCATGCATATATATATATTTGTACATACGAGTTACCAATCCGATTGCCGGCCATATTACAGAAACTGAGTATTGAATCTTCAATGAATCACTTTATTAAATAGCAACGGCTAATCGTTATATAGAATTGAACCAACACAAAGCTTCAACTTCCTTTTACACAAAGTTATAATGGACTCGAGTTTTATGCATTAGATTAAAGGACTACTTTCTTCGGAAAGCGAACTAATCGGTGTAATATTTTATCATGTATTCAACCAATCTCAACCTAATTGTACAGCACATTTTCAAAACAAAGGTCGTCATTCAATGATTATAAAGCTCATGCACAGATGTGGTGCCACAGCTCAAGTCTAATAATATCACGTTAAATGAAAACATGGCAATCCTTCTTGAAAAGGGAATACCACAATCGGTTTTCTGGCCCAGTGATACACTGATATCGGAATTTTCCAACACTCTTCCCAGGCCATCTCAATATCTTAATTCTGAATTCCCAATTATAATTTCACTCACTGTTGAATAGTACAAGCAGAAGCTGGAATCTAATGCTTCTCATACCGTATCCATCCAGAAGAAGACAAGTTTGGATGGTGAAAATAGCTTAATCCAATTACATTCTTAAGCAGTATCAAATTCTGATTTTGACAGGAATTCCTCCAAAAAGGTTGAGTATTAACAATTCTATTTCAAGAAGAGAACTTCGGTCAATGGCAAATAAAAATGAGGAAGCACAAATCACTCAATAATAATGTGCAGATGGAAGAACTAACACTCAAACTTAACAAATAATAGCGAAACTTTGCTTCAGCAGAGATCACTATTTTACTGGTGATTTAAAAAGATGAGCATAAATTACAATAAACGTGAAAAAAAGAATTGCCATTAAGCAGTAACACGGTTAGTTGGAGATCATTAAATGACTTACATTGCAGTTAGGCATTTCATGTTGGTTGATTTGATAATATGATCGAGAAATTCCTTTTCACTTGTAATTGTGGTGTTTACAGCAACCTGCCAAAGGAAAGAAAAAGATAATTGGAAACATGAAAAAAGCATTGTAATCAAGAAGAGACCAGAGAAACCATATCTTGAATCAGATTACCATATTCATTAAAATCAAACTTTACAACTAGATGTAATAGATAGATGTTTTAAAGCCACCTTTCTAGTAAATAAACTACTTGAGCAACAAGAACATCTAAATCATCAGTTTCCTGTAGCGAGTTTCCAAATAAGCTAGGGATATAACAACATACATGAAAATTTCCTCCAAATTCTTTTGACTGGCAAGACTACATAAAATTCACATAAACAGCTGTATAACTAACTTCTCCAGTTCACATATGGGTTTGTCTGTCAAGCTTGGATCAGGAAGAAAAACTAGTGACTATAATTATGAAGCTCATATTCCCCCAAAAGTCTGAAATAGTTAAAATGAAACATGAAACTCCATTTAGGCATTATGCCCAGGGAACTGTAGAATACCAGGTAATGCATGCGGTAAACAACAATTAAAGCAATTAATCATCCCCTTTTGCAGTGCATTACATGCCAAAACAATGAAGATAGTGCAAAGTACCATGTATCTCTAAAATAACTACAACTGGATAATGACAACTCAAGTGATAACAATACCTTGTTTTCCCATTCGAATTCTGCCCACATGGCTCTAAACGCAGTATCACTACAAACAGCAGGTGATATGTAGTCCATGATATCAATATGGATATCATTGAGGACGACAACAGTTCGCTCAAGCACATTTGACGTCTCATAGACAATGTTTCCAAATATGACACCAGTCTCAGTAGAGGACACCTTAATGTTTGCTTTGATTTGCTTGCTTGACAAGGGTGCTAAAGTATAATTCTGAGGACGCTCAACAAGTTTAAGATCACCCATTGTTGCCAACTCCAAACACAAATTCTGAAGGGTCTCCTTCGTTCTATTAATAACTGTAACATCCAGGACAATATCGTATTGATGAACTGTCACATAAGCTTCAGCATATACTGGATCACTAAATCCTGTGAGTTGAATTATACGGTTGAGCTTATTCGCGTCATCTGCATCCTTAACAAACTCCCCAGTAGCACGTTTCAGATCATCTTGTACCTCATCTTCCAGCTCCAGCTGGCTCATGCCCTGGAGCGATAACAATTACAGGCATAAGCAATTTATATGCTGTATACAGCAAGCAATAAAGTCCAGTTAAGGTCCAGACAAAGCAACTAATTCCTTTGCACGCTTGCACATTAAAAAAAGGCCCTCCACAAACATATATTTGCATGGTAATAAGCAAAAGTAAAGCAAACTAGTAGTTATAAAACCCAACTTATTCAAAGTGATGATGGAGACAGTGAGTATATTCCACTCTTCACAACCCAAGAGGGTAAATCTTACTAATAAAAGTAAAGACGGCAATTCAAGAAAACCTCGTTTAAGAAAAAGATTTTTACTCAAAAACCTGATGTAATGTATTTTTGGATTGAAAATCACTCCAATGTGTTTTCTGGATATAAAAATGTATTCGGGGGAGTTTTTTGCAGTTTTTGTAAACAATGTTCTGGAAAAGAATTTAAAGAATATGCAAGGAATACCTTTCTGCTCTTCAAATGGTAGAAATCAATAAGGTCATCAGGCTGTGAATGAGAAATCTGAGCCTTTGCCTTAATTTCTTCAGTTTCACGTAGCTGTTTATCTGAAAGCATTTTAACAAAACTCTCGCGGCAAGACTTCAACCAGATCTTCCTCACAGCATCCCCAGTATTACACAGCAATCTTATGCAAAGAACAATCCTGTCATAAGAATCATTATCAATTGGATGAGGGAGAACGGAAGATTGTCCAAGCTGCAGCATTGAGACCATGATCAACAACGCATCGCTTGATGCTTTGTTCAATTCAATCTTTGACGGCTGAACCTCCTCTAATCTCAGATTGAGCTTTGCTAGGGTACATGCAACAACAGCTCCAAGGAAAAAATCACCAGTGAGAAGAAGAGATCTCAAATTCCCAGTAGTCAAAGATCCTTGAACTACAGCTGGAGCGGAGAAAGCAGTTTCAGAGGCAGCACTTTGAGTTGCATAAGTCCCATCAGCAAGAATAGCAGGTCTTCTAGATGACACAGTTATTGAGGTAGCCTGCTGAGGTTTTTTTGAAGAATCGCCTGCTTCCTCATCTTCAGAAATAGAAAAAAATGGTAAATCCCCAAGACACTGCTTTATGGTTGCAATGGCACTCTCAACTTCAGAAAGGGATAAGGAATACTCTCCAATGATCCAAAGAGCACAAGAGCAAACTCTAGCTGCCCGAATCTGATAACAAGTATCCAAAAGCCGGGAGATGATAGAAACCCTTAACTTAGGGTTGGTTTCGATTATCTCTCGAACAAAAATGACAACATCCATTGCAGAGGCAACATTGCTGTCTCCCAGGAAATCCATCAACAAATGAACAACTGTGCTTGCCACTTCAGGGAACTTTATAGCACAAGAATGGATGGCTTGAATGAGTATTTGACGATACTCCCCATTCTTCTCAAGCTCCCCACTTTGAGTTTTCATAACTTCCTTCTTCAAAGTAAGAACCACCTCATTGACATTGCGGGGTGTAATAAGTTCCAGTATCATATCAAGTGTTTTCCTTCGGATGTCAAGATTTGGGCTGGATAATGCCCTCAGAACATCCATAATCATCGTCACCATAATATCACTGTG